CGAGCAGGCGCAGAGCGGGGCGGGCCCGGCCGGGCCCGGCGCCCCCGGGGGAGGCTGAGGGGAGAGAGGGCCCGGGCGGCGCCGGCAGGCCTGGCTGAGTCCCGCGGCCTCAGGGATAAACGTGTTGGGAATTAATTTGTTCGCCTCCCGCTGCCTGCGCAGGACGTGGTTAAAACGCCCTTCGCCGGGATCAACGAATAAATAAGTTGTAAATAAATCCTCCCCCTTCTGGGAGGGCCGAGCCCCCGCCGGCGGCTGTTCCCCGACAGGCCCCCGCTGCAGCCATTAAAGACTTCACACCGTCCTTACAGAACAAGGATTTCGTGTTTAGTTTTGTCTAGAATTACTTCCAATAATTTACAGAGCACTTACATTGAACAATGAAAGCATAAAATTGAGAAAACAATTCAGGAAGGCACACGATACAATCCGGTTTTGTCACAGAAATAACAGTGTCCATAGTACTCTCTTTCAAGCTCGGTTTATTACAAACAAGGTAAAAAAATCAGCATTGCAGCAGGTGGTATTTCAAGCCCCAGCTAATTTTGTAATGCTCACTGTACACGGCATGGAAAAGCACTTCAGCCCAGCCCGTAAGGAACAGCCACTGCTCAGGTTCCCCTGGGGCTGAAGCAGGTGGTGTGGGGTTAATATTCCTTGTGCTTTTATTTTGCAAAGTGAAAGGGACGCAGCCTCCAGGCTCAGCATGGGTAAGGGTACCACTGAACTTTGGTTCAACACTCCTTACGTACACAATATATGGCAAATGACTACATTCAAACTACTGAAGTCATTCTTTAAAGCTCTTCTAATTATATAAGGTCAGCCAGTAACAGAAAAATAATCTCAGTAGAATGGGAAAAGAAGTCACAGGGAAAATAAAAAGAAACCTAGCTTTAGCTATTTTGACTGACTGAAAGAAGATTAATTAAAAAAAAAATAAAAATAAGCGAACACACAAAGAAAGCTGAAAGCACCATCTGCAGGGAAGCCAAAATGCAGGAAAAGCTCCAGTGGCTAAAGCCCAAAGACTCATCAGTCAAAAGCCATCTCCGCCTGTGGGTGCTTTTCCATTTCCCACAGGCTGCAGCAAATGGAATTTGAAGTACCACCTGCCTCCCAGCTGAAGTGGTGGTTCATGCTCAAGTCAAAAGGCTGAAAACATGTCCCAGCACCACATAGCTCCAAAATGCTTGTCTACTTCACAAGTTAGTTGGCCATTTTTGTTATTTTAGTGATGCACATGAGCTAATGACAATACTGAAAACTGCAAACAAGCAGCTGGAGACACAAATACCAACTTACTAATTTTTTAGCTACAGGTGCTCAAGCTCTTGCTAATAGGCAAATCATTGTTTGTTTATTTTTACAAAATCTCAATCCTGAGAGGCTACATGCAGAAAACAGCTTTGTGTAAAGTTCTCTTTATTACAGGCAACATTAGTCCATACAATAATACACAATACTGACATACAAGTGTAATCTTTCAAAATCATCATTTAAACAGCAAAGACCAAGAAACAGAATTTTAACTACTTCATTTTCAAAAATTAATACGTTTTTTCCTCCCAAGATCCTTTTTCAGTAAATTATATTGAAACATACAAATAGAGAAAAAATACCCATTCAACATATATCGTAGTTAAATGGTTATTTTGTTTAAAATCTTTAATAAGAAAATCCTTTTTAGCAACCTACATATAGATAAGTAGCAAACTTTGTTTTAAACAAATCCTCTCCATTAAAAGATCTGAAGAATTTTCATCCATCATTTTCTTCTTAGCCCATAACACTCTGTTTTGTAATACCTTGATACCTTAAAAGTTTTTCAACTGAAGGACTGATACTAGGGGGCTTCCTAGACATTATAACCTCTCTTTCCCCCCTTCTATTTCCTAACGTTCTGTCCAACAGAAGGTGAGTAAGCACGTAATACTTCAGATTTTTTTAATCACCACTCTGTTTCATGAGAGCACAGACAGGTCTGCTCAATCCCCCTAAATCTACTATATTTTGCTGTTCAGGGGGAACAATATATGCCAATAAAAGCAGAAAACCTGCAGCTTTTCTGTCACATGCTTTTGATTATTGTCAAATTTTCTGGTTTATGCTTCCAGCTGATAACATGTATGTGTCACCTCAGTATTAGTTTAAATCTTTAAACAAAAAACTATATTTTCCAAAGTCATTATCACTGGGAGCAATCAAGTGGTCTTTTCTTGCTTTGCTGAGCTTCATTCTTAAAACTTGTCGTCGTTCTTCCCACTCATGGAGTTCAGCGTTTCCATGGGCAAATTTACAGTTGTTCCCTTCAGTGCAAGTACCAGCCATATATCTGTTAAGACAGATGTCAAATAGTGTTGTCATAGAATTATCGTGATCACTGTTCTATCTAGGTATTTTCTTCTGGTCATGTTTTTCAAATACATTAACTCGGTTCAGCATTTGATTATATTTTCCTTCCCCAGCTGTCAAGTATTTATAGAAGACAAGAGATGTATGTCTCTGTTCTTCATGCTCCTACTTTCCTGAGTCATTTCATGCTTGAAACATTTCATTTCATCACGTAAATTAATACTGTATCAATTAACTTGCTAAGCTAAAGAACTAGGACTGTTAAAAAATCCAACTCATTAATTATCCTTTGTTAACTAAATATGGGTTTTAAGTACTCAGTATGATTTAAGAATCTGTTTTATCCTAGAATTTTTGTATTAAGTTGTAAGCATGCCAGTTTGCATTCACTTTATACTGCATATACGAGGCCTGTTAGTGTTCAAAACATCAACTACATTTAGGATGTTACCAAAAAATTTAGTAAAGGAGGCATGTAAGCTTTCATGCAAAGACTGCAAACAAAAACCCAACTTGCTTCATATTCTGTGCAGTTTCTCAAGATCTCTAACAGATTCAAAATCTTTAACTTGAAATGGAGTTACAAAGATATCTGTACCCACAAATTGAATCTTTAACTTCAGAATGTAGATTCCAAAGTTTTTAGCCTTCCAAGAAGATTCCAACAGTGGAAAGAACTTTCAACAGATTTACAAAAAAATCTACTGCAGTCAGGTAAACGGGCTGCATTTAAGAATTAAAAGGAGTGGCAAAACATACAACCAACGCTGGGGAAAAAAACAGGTCTTGGAAGTTCTCTTCCACACTTTCATAAATGATTTCCAATAACAGATACTCGATCGTAACAGATTTGTTTTGATGCCAACATTTCCACTTGCCTTAAAGCTCCAATATCACTCCTAGGTGCTGTTCTTGTGTTCCACAGGTAATTAATATGCAGCTGCCTAAATAAACTTTTTATACCACCAGAAATTTTTTGTGCAGCTGCAATAACTTTGCAACCCCTTATTAACATCAAACAAGCAATTCATTTGGTTCCACAATTAGGCACCTTGTCACTCCCAAAATTCTAACGCTACGTGTTAAAATACTGTTAATTACTTGATTTCTTGTTGAAAGATTTATGGAAAGCAAGAAATACTAGAAACAATGTGTCAAGACAAATAACCACCTCAATTATTTACATTATGAACTGTCATTTTTCAGCATTTTTGACATCTTAAAAACCACATACCTATCACAAATGCTAAAATATCCAGTTGGAAAGCGATACTGCCAGCAGTTTTGATCATCTTCAGTGTGGAAAACCTTCTCTTTATGTTTTTCGGAAGAAATGTGACCCTGCCATTGCTTCTCACTATTACAGTTCTTCCCGCACATCCAACAGTGAAAATCCACCTGTTTTACAGGGAATTTGAAAACAAAACATTAAGAATTCAATACTGTAAGCAAAGAACTGCTCCTAATACATTTTCAATGTTTTCTGTATGTGGGCCTATAAATTGTTGTTTACCTAATGAGACACAGTTATTTAAATAATCACCTGAAGTTTATGATCTCCATTGGCTTTAGAGGATTCAGAAGAACTGCTTTACAAGCTTCAGTTAAAGTTTGCATTTAGTGCAGCTAGCTAGGATCTAAGGAAGCACCAAGAAAATAAGGACAACAATGTACGTTACTGACTGGGGGGCAGTGACACCACAAAAAAACCCACACATGTGAATCTAGAATTATAGCTATGATTACTTACTGTAACTTCAGCATAGTCAGTCGGCATGTGAATTTGCTTCCCATTTTCTTTGTTTGCCTGAGCAGCTGCGTCATCTCCTTTTTCTGGCTTTTGACTTTTTAGCCATATGTCATACAACTGCTCCAAGTCTTGAACTAATGAGAGCAGAAGCTAAAATAAGTAATTAGCAATTAAGGCAAGAGTTTGAGAATACTAGATAAATGACTGAGTTTGCAAGCATAATTTAGTTCCCGCCTATTGTAAGAAGAAAAAAGGAAGGACACAATGTAGGCAGTTACACAGTTCAGAGATAAGAGCCAAGAGCAATATGAATCTCTGGCTACTTACCAAGAGCCATTTCTGCCCATCTAGGGAGCAGTAAGATGTTGCATATTTCTGAACTGGCACCCAAAGTACAGATAACACCTGTGCCGCTCTCTATCAGCACCTGAATTTTTAATTACTGATATAAAGTGTGCTACAGCTTTTGGTAAATTTAGTCCGCTTTCTTTCAGACCATGATAACATCATTAATGTTATTTATTACTTCAGATTTTCAACTATTTCTCCCCAGTAACACTCTAATGGGATAACAAGTCAACAGCAGAAAGTGAATTGTAATTCCCAGTAAATACACTGAGGGAGGGAGGGAAATTCTTCTGCAAATAGCTTGCCCCTTATGCTGGTAGCAGAATCCTAGTGTGTGCACATGGCAATACGGAATGTAAGTACCAAATAATATTGCTATTTCAAAAACATCTAAAAAAATTGATACAAAGTACTTTATTGTTAAAAAGCACATCCAGCAACAAATATATTATACAGCTATTGTTATTGAATACTGTTTTTGAATACCCAGTCTGGGCTTTTTCAAATTAAAAAAAAAAAAAAGGCACCTGCAAGGTTTACTACAAAAGACAGTGAACGAAAGTGGATTAAAAAGTAATTGAGGAACAAGAATGAAAAGCAGAACAGTCAGATTTGCAACATCTTGGTTTACTCTTGTACTTACTGCTGTTCTCCTTCATATAGGTCCACATCTCTCTTTCCTCAGGACTGTGAGCAAATGAGCAGTTTCCATCATACTGACATTTCTTGCCTGAAGCAATATGATTGCACAACTGGAATGTGAATTGAAAAAAGTATCCTTATGAATATAAAGTAAAATGGACAATAGTAGAAAATGGTATTTTTTTTCATTCTTGGTTGGTGTTTCCCTTCTCACACAGACATTTGTATCACATGAAAAATAAAACCATGTTTATTTTATAAAAACTCATATATTGTAGTTAGAAAAAGCAAACTACTGGAAGCAAGTTATTATGACTGCTTTTTGCCTCCTACCACATTACCTGACCACAGATATGTTTAAACTATTTCTGAAATATTTACTGGAAATAGTAAGAACTTAGTTACATCACTTTAAAAGTTACTAACTTCCACTGATGAGAAAGGATTTAAGTAATAACACATGAGATCAGTGCTTTTCTAAGGCTGAACTCCATAGAAACACTATTAACGTATTCCCACCAGCCCCTGTGGGAATTTCTGCAGAACTGATGAAACCAGCCCAATTACCAATGTTTTCCAGATACCCTATTTTCTTAACTAAAATGTTAGTTTTAGGTTAACATACATCAAATTGCAGAGGCACTTGTTTCTTTGCGGGAAGAGGACGAATGGTCATCCACTTCTTACGTTCATTAGACATTACTAGCACCACACGACGATCTTTGGTCCATCTAAAAAACAGATGCATTCAATGAAAGAAAATACTCCTAATAAAAGATACACTGTGTACACAGAAGCAGAACCAGGAAAGGTCAGAAAGGTTCTTTATAAAGCTTTCACAATATATTTGAGATTTAATTGAGTTCTACTGAAACTTTACCATAACTGATAATCAAAAAAAACCCCACAAAACAAAACACCAAAGTGTTTCTCATTACCAATTGTTAACATAATACAAAGAGATGAGTGTATTATGCTTCAGTATGTTTGTTTTTTAATTCCTTGTATGACTCTTTCCTAAGCAGTAACAAAGTTTCCCAAAAGAGATTTTAAATGGTTGACAAAGTGGAAAAATTTTCACTGTTTGTTCTTACTTACGGGTGTCTTGCCTTTGCACTACAGTATTTTTTGTTTCTGTCTGGCTCATTAACTTGACCATTTCTCCAGCACTGACCACAAACAAACTTCATCTTCAAATTAAGTGATCCATATTTCATTTGGTTCCCAAGGATCTTAAGCCAAAAAAATAACAACAACAATAAAAGGTATTTTGTATCTGCAAAAAAATCCATACATAATAATGAATTACCCCCCATGATAAAAATTTGCAACACGTGTCCAGAAGCAGATATTACACTGCGTGTCTTGTAATAGTTTACCTTGTAATTTCAAACTAGACTTGTCTTAACAAATGCATTTCTGTTTAACTTATTTCTCATTTAGGTGTATGTACCCAAAGTTGTGATAATATATACAAATAAACACATAAAAGTCCTACACATATTGGAAAGATAATTAATTGCCCTATGGCAGCTGACGTTGAGATTATATTTAGGCTTTATGTTTTGTCTATGCTAGAGTAAGCAAAGGAAAAAAGGAATTGCATAGAGCAAAGCAGGGTTTCTATGGTAAGTGGACGAAAGCCTACTGAAAGAGATTATTTGAAGAAGGCATTAAAAAAGTAATTTCTAAAATAAGCTACATTATACACAGACATAGAAAAAGAATTATCAAAGTCACTGTAGAATTAGTTCAATGGAAAAATGAAATTACCTGTGACCCATGTGCACTAGCTTCCATGTTCTGCCAGTATTTCTTTGATTCTTGAACAATAGTATCATGTGAAATACCTGTAAAGGACGGGGAAAAGTTCTTGAGCACTTATGACTGTTATAGAATTTCAGATATGCTCAAACTTGAGTATCACTGAAGGCCCAAAGCTTTTACCTATTTTTCTTTTTATATATTGTATACATATCCACACACTCGTCGTGTGGATATACATTTACATCATACACACACACACACACACATATATACACACTTTATAATTTCATGAGAGCCTCCAAAACAGAAATACTGTATATAACATCACATTGAGAAGCAAACACAAAGGTTTTTTTAAATTACAGATTGCTCAAATAAGTTAAGACGCATCTTCGAATATCTACTTAAACATAATGTATTAAACCTCTAATGACAATCTAATTAGAAAAGCTACATTGTATTATGGACCACAGAAAAAACTATCTAAAATGCAAGCTGACAGACACTAGATTCCCCCTGCCCTCCTTATGAAGATTTAAACAAGCCCTGTTAATTATGTTTTGTTTCAGAAAAAAAAAATATCTTAGAAATACTTTAGCTAAGGTTCCTATCAGAGCTATATATTGTTCACACACACTGTAATATTTACTACTCTAATTTCATACAAACACAGACTGTCATCTGTGTTTGGATTTGAGGACTGGTAAAATGTTTCTTTCCTGAGGCAGCATTCCTTTACTTCCCACAACTTACATTCAGAAAAGAAACCTCTTTCAAAGAGCAGAGGCTGAGCTTTAACTGACTTTGGCTAAACATGAGGGCAGCATGAACACATCATAAAATAAAAAATATGCCTTCTGTGACAAATCAAGTTTCTCAGAGAATCCATTCGTTACTTCAAAATTGAAATTCTACAGTAAGTTATTTGCTATCCTTGGCTTTGTACGGACAGCTGGTAAGAAAATAACTTTTACTTTTGCACAGAAGCTTCCAAAGGTTCATCCCAGGAGAGAGAACAGGAAATCAGGAAAGAAGTTTCTATTTGACTATTTTCCTCCAAAATTTTCAGTATGACATCCTGTGTCAGAATGCCTGTACGAGAATCTAGATAGAAAGCTGAAGCGACAAGGAGCTTCTTCTTCAAAGAGGGGAGGGGTGACAACACATCAGACATAAATGGGCAAAACCACCAGAAACACTGCAACACACAGAGACAGCCACGCTTCCCGTTTTCCTCCGTGCAACGCAATGATCCAACACGATTACTTAATATGTACAGTACTGCTGTCATACAGAGCAAGGTAGGAAGAATGAGCAACTGTCATACGATACTAATTATTTCCTGCTAATGGTTCAATTGCTTTTTTAAATAAAAAAAGAGTCACAGAGAGTTTGGAACTCATGACAAACGACTGGGCTGTAAGTACAGAGACATGTAATTCAAAAGCTATCAGCTAGAAATGAAGTAGTAAAGTTTGTTATCCTCAAAGAAGCCAACAAAAACAAGCCACATAACAAAAAGCAGCCAAAATGTCCTGTGCAACTAAGAACAGAAAAACAGTTAAGCTTTATCAACACTTACACTAACCAGAGACACAGTAGCGATCTGCAAATATTTATTTTCTGGCTCACTATAGAAAAATATCAGAATGGCAGTAAGCTAAAAGAAAGGTTTAACTATGAAAAACCTTGATTCTTGTACTGGGGGATGGAGGGAAACAACGACATAAAAATTTCAAGCTTTTATTTCACTGCTCTGTGAAAAAGGAATTTGATCAAGATCTTCCAAACTTTGAAGGTTTAAAAATAAAAAGCTTGACTTGAATTTAATATCTGCTCAAGACTTCTAGTTTATTTCAAGAAGAAAAAAAGCATGAGCAGTTTTCACAGGTTTTATTATCAAAAACTTCCTAATTTTGAATAGCTAGTGGCCTACTCAACGCTTTTTATCATATTTACATTACTGTTTATTGAATATGCTGTATGAAAGATGCCAGCAAATTGTAAATGAATGCGCTGATCCCAAATTGCTAATTTCAGAAGGGAGCCGAGACAAGAAGCGGTATTACAATGACGAGTAAAGCCAGCATTTTAGTAAACATACCTGTTTCCTTCTGCATTATCCAGACTTTAAGCTCTACCAGGCTGTGAGCATAAAAGCATTTATCCTCTCGTAAGCAGCCATAATGCACCTCATGTCTGCACAGGTCAAGCTGGCATCTAACTTGAAAAGGGCGGATTTTGGAATATTTCACCATAGTTTCTCGCAAAATGTGGACAAGGCACCTGTTTTGAAAACATTAATTTTTAGATATTCCTTAAAATGACTTTGTTCATGTGTGGAAAAACACATAAAATAACCATGCCTCATCACAGCTTATTCAAATGTTTTTGTAACACTTTTTTTACTTGCAATCAGAAAGCCAAAAAAGTTTCCAGAAGGAAGTACCACCTCATTGTTATTTCTAGGCTGAGTAAATTAACATCACAGAACAGTACTCTTGTGAAATCCAGAGGTCCCCCTTCTGCAAAGCATTACTGAATTTAATCCAACTGGATCACTGATCTCCAAGAGGGAAAGCATATCATGTCCACTTTCAAGTACATATCCTGATCTAAACACAAACATGCAGTCCTGAGTAATGTGCTCTGGGCAGTCCTGCTTTAGCAGGGGAGTTGGACTAGTTGATCTCTAGAGGTCCCTTTCAACTCTGACAATTCCCTGAGACCATGATAGGTACGTACTCTTTAAAACTCCACTATTAAAGAAAAGTTGATGCATCACAGTAAAAGCCTGGCTCTTCTAGCTGCAGTGTTTCCTCAATGTAGGGAAGTGGAGTACAAACAAAGCAATTAAAATGCTCCCACTTACGTTTCCATCATATGAAACCATACGTCTATTAATTCCCCAAAGCCTATTTAACACTATTAGCGCTATGAAGTCTTTGTTAACTTTCAAAGAGTAATTAAACACACTTTCCTTTTTTTTTTTAATCAACTGAATTCATAAGAACTATTGTCTATTTCAGACAGAAAAATTAAGGTAAACCTGTTCTTATCTGAGTTAAAATTACAGCAAAATAAGCAAAACAGATCAAAGAGAGCAAACTTATGAATTCCTATATTAATTTAATAACACATCTATTTACATCAATGCAGCTCACCAGGTAGATAAGCTATTAACAAACTGACACCAAAACCAGTAAGACTCAAACATGAGGGTGGATACACTAATTTTGAATGCACTGATAAAGAAACAGTTCGCTTTCCATTTAGTTATATGAGACAATCCTTGTTCAATGAATCTGTCTTATCAATACTGCCAAAGCATAACAGTCATCTAGCAACGAAGAGAAGTTAATCAACAGGTAAGAAATGAAAGTCAATATTAAGAAATGCCCCGGAACCTTTGCTTTTCATTTGAAATTTAAAGAAAGAGATGGTATTTCAGACGTACTTGTTATCTTCAAAGTCATGCATAGCAGGGTGAGAACAAGAAGATGAGTTATCTTTGTTCCTTTTGCTTATTATTCTGGGTTTGTGATCAAAACATTTCTGGAATACAAAAACAGGTAATTATAGACTATGTATTTTATACATTTAAAAATATATCTTACCTTAAAGACTTTAACAGAGACTTCAACTAGTCTCTAAAGCTAGACAGATTATTATTGAACATGCATTTCAAAGTTTACAAAATAGTCATGCATGAACCAAAGCACTTCTTTCCAGGTAATTTTATTATCTAGTATCATTTTTATTGTATCATTAGAAATAAAGCAGCACCTCACAAAGAAACATAAATAATCCATGATGTTCTTGAAGGAGTCGAGACACAGTCAAGTTGATCTTTCCATTTCCTCCAAAAAGAGCTTCTCGACTAAAGGCTCCTTTGCGCTCCAGTGTCCACACATCTATCTCCTCTTGGCAATACGCAAACGTGCAGTGACCTGGATATCTGCATTCTTCTTCAGCAGCAACATCTAAAGTGATAACATTGAACACGACATTGCTTTTACATAACTTTTATCTTAAAACTTACACTATCTCCATTTCAAATGTTACTAATAAAAAAATCTACATCTGTTATAAGTGGGTCACAAGTCTAGCAGACAGAAGCAAAGCCTTATGCTGAATGACTTTCTGAAAATGAGAAACTCCTCAGAAAGTCTGATGCACACCTCCACCAGCTATCCTTTTCTAGTCTAAGGAAACAATGCTGAGAACCCAAAATACCTTTTGCTTAAATACAGTCAGGTAAAGCTGTTAATTAATCCATGAGTCACCTTGCTTACATCATAAGTAGAGTTTCATACCACAGAAGTCTAACAAGAATGTTTTTCTGTTGTTGTTTTGAAGAGTAAAAGCCCAGCACTCAGAAGCAAAGTTATTCATGATGAAGAACAGTACAGAAGTACAGTCCATGTTCTCTAATTAACCACATTAATAGTCAAAACATAGCTCCCCTTTCAGCCTCTGAAAATATAAACAACCCAGTGAACTTCCTTCTCAACCTCCCATGAGCAAGAATAAAAACTCATTCTATACTTCACTGTGGAAAAGCTAAATTATATGACTTTGAGTACAGGCATTAACATTTTACTATCTATAACACTTACCTTTACAAATATAATATGGTCCCACATATTGTGTCTTTGTTGGTCTTGGTCGTATTTTTTTCCATGATTTATCTTCCGAGTTTTTTATTCTACCAATTAGAATATCTTTCTTACATTTATGCTCTAAATTGGGATGGTAAGCGTAATCCAATAACTTAGGACCTGTAACAATAACACAAAATTGCTTACATTTGCATAAATTGCAGCATACCTTTAAAATTTCCATACACAGACTGGCACATAAGCCCAAAAAGCAAAGTACACGAACACACTGTATAGAATTCCTACTTGCACCAGCAACTGTGAAGAACCAAAAGTCATTAACAGCCATGTTGAGCAGAACAGAAAAAAACTGAATACTTACAAAACCACCAGTCTTGGGAAGAAAACATCCCCACAAGTTATTTGGGGAGAGATGCTGTGTTACAACCTTAAGATTACTTTGGGACAGCATCAAATTGCTGCCTTTTTTCAAATTCCAGAGTATACGTTTCCATAACATTAATTTAAAACTTAAATTGCTTCTTCTACTAAGTCAGTGAGGGCCAGTAAATTGCTCTCTTAACCTTCAACTTTTATTGTATCAGAACAGTTACTCTGTGCAGAGACAAAACATGCTAGGCACAAAGTACACACGTACCAAAAATATAAATGCCAATCCCAGAACTTTGTGGGCTTGGAAACAAAAATATGCTTAGCTTTAAACTCTGTCTTTAGGATGACACTAAAGTGAACATTACATTACCACTAAAATGAAGAAACTGGGGAGAGAGTCTGAAGACGAGCAATACTCAATGTAATTTTTCTATTTAAGGGACTACAAAAACAAGAGCGTGACCCAGTTTCCCTGGACAAGAAGCTGATGGAACAGTACAATTTCAAAAGTAGGCAGTAATAGCAGGAGACATCTAAAGGTTTTGATAGAGATGCAAAGAAACAGAAGAAATAGATGCTTTGATACAAATAGTCAAGATAGAAATGTGCTAAGTACTTCCACCAACATTTTATCGCTCCGATTTTTAACAGAACATGTTTGATGGTTTTTCAAACATCATTTTATGGATTTTTCTTGTTAAAATGATTTTATACTCATATAAAAGTTTTCAAAACTACAAGAATCATCCCCTAAATGTCTCGATACAATTCTTTGTAAGATCCATTACTACACTGCACTTCATTAGTATATCAGTATTAATGACACCTATGACTTGAAAACAATGCTTATTTTAAAGATTAGTCTTAATAAGACCTACTGCCTCTAGAATACGGCTCTGTTTAACAGCAATAGCTCAGGCCTAAAAGATTAGTTATATTAAAGCCCAATACTGGTTAAGATCCTTTGAGTCAATACAGTGGAGTTAATGATTACTAAGGGTTGGAAGCCTCAGGATTATGATTTAGAATTAGTTTGAAAGAACAGTAAAACAGATGGGATGTGAAGGTTACCAGGTACTTTGAACTGCGGTTCAATTCCCCATGGCCAATCAGAGAGAGTACTGCAAGTTTTTTTTAGTCTTGAGCAAAGGTGTCATTCTTCACAGTACCCTGGGGGTTGGGAGGAAAGCGAATACAGAATGTGAACGACCTTACACAGTACACCTAGAGGTTGGGGAAAGCGTGTGGTGATCTGTGGTGGTTTTAGGAATCAAGAATCTATTAGGACAAGAAATAAAGACAAGAAGAAAGGAGATAAAACAGAAGCTGGAACATTTTACTAGTTCCTTAATCGTAAGATTGTACTACATCTGCAAAGAACAAGTCAGGATTAACACAGTTTAGAAGCCAACAGTATTTTAACTTATCAACACTAAAATTTTAAATATATGCTTCTTATTTTTTAAAAAAAATAATCAACCCAGTTGAGTCCAAAAGCCCCTTACCTTTTTTGACAAAACATAACTGGCAGGCCTGTCGCAGCTCATGTGTGCCTTCTAATGGGTTTCTTCCCACAAGTGCTGAAGATACAGGTGAATTAGCAGTTGCACTGCTAAAAACATTTGAAAAGTCATTTCTAGTTTGGCCTGCAATTCCCATGTAATTTTCGGACCCAAACAAACTACTAGGGCCATTTATCTGTTGGAAGAAAGCATATTTTACTTGATCCATATAATTTAATTTATTTACAATTAAAATTTAACCCACTGAATTTATTCTTTGAAGCATAAGAAAGAATATACACAAAAAAAACATAATACAAATTTAACTACATGTTTAAGAAGGGGACACAGAGATTTTACAGAAGCCGAACACCGAGCGCATACTAAGTGTATAACAAGACCCAACCAGGTACAAGGAGTACAGCAGCACTTGCCAGGCTAATTATTACTCCATCCTGGCTCATGAGGCTGTAAACCCGTCACGCCACCCCTCCCCACAAAATCAACAGCCAGCAGCGTGACTGAAAACATACGGCATGACTAGAACACAGAGACCAGATGGATTCCCGGACACGAGGCAATCTTTGCTCTGTTCCTGTTCTCAGACAGTTCTCCAGGATTTCTAATGTTTGCACTCAGATCATAAGAGATTTGCTCTCTCTTAGGTTGGTTATTTTACACTTCCTCAGTATTTTACAGCAAGTTCCTCAGAACGGAAAAGTGGCTATAACAGTAGCCAAAGTTTGCATATATAAAACATTTTTTGGTGTTCAATTACTATTGCTGTGAGCTACTGTACAACTGTTTTCCAAGCCAGAATCATATTTTAATGGCAAAAGTACCATTTTTTAAAAACAGAAACTTCTACTGTAGAAATTAAGATCAACGTTAAGACTTCAAGTTGTTAACATTTGAACTGACATGTAAGAAAACATGAAAAATACTTACAAACAACGGGGAATTATTGCTGCTAAGTGTTGGTGTTCCATCCCTAGAAGCTGAACTTGAGAGGTCTAATGGAATAAAAAGAAATTTTAATTATTTCAGTTCCCCAAAACACCCTATGCAGAAAATTATTTACTGTCCTGAGAAGTAGAGGTATCAAAGGTTTGGTCTTCAGAAAAACACTAAAGTGTTTTTTTTGCTATGGCAAATTTTTTCAGTTATGTAAAAATCCCTTGTAAACATCTGGGATGAAAAATTCCTAGGTAATCCTCTTCAATATAACCACCTGATTAACAAGAGCAGTAGCTTCCCAGGCATATGCTGAAGCAACATGAAGATACTTGTGCAGTACAAAAAGGGTAGCCAGATATGCAATACCTGACTATCAAAAATGAGGATATGAAAGAGAGTTAAGAGGATTTTTCTATTTTTGATTTTATTTTGTAAATTTGGCTTCATTCAAAACAGAGCATGCTCCTATAACAGTGGTAATTAGAGACAAAACTTTAATTTATCTTTTCTAGTTCACTGGCTATTTATATCTTATTACTTCACATACCTGATTTCACTACATAATTATTGTCCCTAGAGTTTGAATCCCAACATGCAATATACAGTTATATTAGCCTTTTAGAATTCTTGCTTATTGCCAAATCATCAGAAATGGTTTAAGCTGTAAGAACACATCTGTTTAAAAAAAAAAAAGTACGGTTCCTTCTTTGTGCTTATTTACCTGCAAGATATAATGCAATAAATGCAGAAAAACTGAACAGAGCGAGTCTGGAGCATGCTTATGCAGATCCTAAGTAAACAAAAGCTTTTTAAATCTAAATTCCTGTGAACAACCAGCACTGATTACCAATACTCCCAAAAATTGTGAGCATTGATCAAATGTTATTTAAGTCCTAAATATTACTGTATAGTTGTGAAAACTCATTTGTTAGAAAGAGAAGCCAGCTGCCTCATGCTCAACTCTCTCATCATAAAAGATTAAATATTAAGACTCATTTCTTACCTCTTTTGGGCTCACTGATTGAAAAGGTGCTTAATGGTGAACAAAAATTCTCCAGTGAAGAAGCCAAAGGCTGTGAAAAGATTTCTGAAAGAGAAGGTGAAGGAACAAATCCTGCACTAACTGGCAGTGTCCCCAGCAAAGAGGCAGAGAAAGGTACACTAGGAGCTACGCTTCCTGCAGGAATAGGTCCTCTGGCTCCTGTAGTTTGCTGGAAAAAAAGAAATTTAAAAAGAATATTCACACAAAGCAAAGAAACCTCTCAAGAACACAATCTGCAATAGTATTTCTTTTACTAAAGTTTTTGCAAAGTTTTTATATACTACTGAAAAGCAACAATAGAAGGTACACTACAGTAGGACAGTACTGTACAGAGCTAAGTACATTTAGAGAACTACAGTCATCAAACCCTAAACAACTGCTGAAGTTTATTAACTTACTAACATAGTTGGATTTTTTATGAATCAGATCAGAGTTGAATTTCCAAATTATGTTAAAAACATATGACAATAGGGAAGAGTCAGAAATCTACATGATTCTTTCCAAATGAAGAGAACATAATTCAAATTGCAGTACAGTAAAGAGTTAAGAGTTAGCTTTAAAATAAATCTTCAGATGTAATCAAATGATACCGTGTTCTGCAAAGGCCAGATCACCTTTTCCTCCCCCGCCCTTGGAAAATAGCATATCCTTCTGCATACCTTTGTTAAGGACATTACCAAGCAGGGAAGTTTCCCTCCCTCCTCCCTGTTGCCCCAAGAAGCTCCCCCCTTGTCTGGAGGCTGACCAAATTGGTCTGCACAGAGCTTGGCTAACACGAAACTCCCTCTGTTGCCCAAGTTGTTAGCCTACAACTCACTCAGGATTTCTACTACACAAGACTGCAGTCTCTCTTGGAAGATTGGCTTTCACTATGGCAATGAATAGAATAGAATATTTCAGTTGGAAAGGACCTACAGTTGGACCTTTAGTCCAACTCCCCGACCAGTTCACGGAACATCCTAGGATCTCTTAAAAGTAATTACTTTCAGCATTTCCAAAAGACAGTCTACAAAACAAAGTGTATACTAAGAAAATTTGAAGCCCAAGCATTTTTTGATTTAAAGTTTTACAACTGCATCCACAGCCGAGTGAGGAATTAAAATCACAACTAATTGAAGAATTACATATGCCACCATCTCATTTAAGATTGCAATACTAAGGGCTCCAAATGACTGGCAGGGCCACAGCAGAGAGTCAGTAACTTGCTAATAAGTTCAGACACTGCTGCTCATCAATCAGAGCCCTCATTTTTGTCTAACAGTTGAGTGACTGTATGCTTCACAGTCTGGTCAACCTCTGGAATGATGGTGTAATTAAAAACAGCTCTTCATGTGCCTAAATTTCTCTAATAATCTCTTCTAAAAAAATACATAAAGTTGGACTCATGATAGTCTAACTATATCTGGTTATCCAGGAGGTGGATCTGGACAAATCCCTAATTGCAGAGATACCAGTGAATGCACCGAACGGCCACGGGGCAAGTACTACTGTCCTGCAAAGCTACTAGCATAACTTTACCTAGGCTTCCTACAGCTACAGGGCGGGCACTCCAACACACTCTCAGGTTCTGAGAGGGTTTATTTGCACCAAAAAAAACCCCAAACCCCAACAAACCTCACCCAAACAAAACCCACAGCAGCCCAGACTTCAAATGTCTGCTTCCCTATTCGTAATACTTCATGGAAGCGGTATCGTCCCACTGTGGTAGCACTGTAGTACTACAGTAGTATTTCTGGGGTAGTACCTCTCCCCCAGCAACGTCGCTCAGGATTTCCAACACACAAAACCAGTATCACTGTCCTTGGAGCTCTGCTGGGTCCTGGCATTTTTACAGCTCCATTTGCAAGAATGTGCACCAGAGAAAAATCAACCCAGTCACGCACAAATACAGCTCAGCGTAACTAGGAAATTTAACTCATTTCACTACTCACATTTCACTACTAGCCCACTGGATAAAAATGCAAGATCCACTCAGAATGACAGTCTTTTGAGAAAGAAAACAAACAAACAAGTCTTACCATTACACTCTCCTCTGGATCAGGCACAGAATCAAGTAATTCATCAAGTTCTTCACCAATAATTATGTCTCCATCTCCACAATCTAGACATGCTTCTGGCATAGAGAAAGAAACATTCCCTCCATTTGCCAACACTGCAGAGGGCAAAGAAACCTTTTCCACTTGAAGAGGCATAACAGAAGATAAAGATGGTACAGGTACTGATGACACTTTAGACACTTCAGAAACAAAGTTTGATGAAGAAGCAGCAGAAACCATTTCTTGCTTCTGGTCAGACAAATCTGAAACAGGTCAGATGGGAATTACTGGAAATTTTGTTCAAAGACATAAAAAAACATCTTGCATAACTTTTACCCTGACAACGTGAGCGCCGAGGGAGTGGAGAAACATGAAGAATATTTAAGCAAAACCACATTAAATCTCTTCAGCTTCCACTAACTTCCAATTTGCGTGTACTTGTATCTCAGTGTCTATGTATTAAACTAAAAAACACAGGAAAAATTACAGATCTGACACTTTACTAAATCTTTGGCGTACGTTCCCCTCCCTATTTTCCCAAGTGAAAGAGAACAGTATGAGACAATCACTATGGGAGCAGTTACAATCATATCAAGTCAAGGAGATTGAAAGGAAATTGGCTCAGCCACTTAAATATGTAGCTTTAGAGATAAACAGATCAGACTTTTTACCACAGATCTTTCAAATCACAAGATGAATTTCTTAAGACATTTTATAACATGAAATAGCATGGCATATCTAGCTTCCTAGCATTAATACCGACATCAGTATTAATAACCAAGACCAATAACTAAGACTCACCTAACTCAATATCTTCTACAGAAGAAGAAGAAGAATTCTGTAAACGAGACAAAAAACACCTCTCAGCACTTTGCACAAGAACCATTAAAATTTTCAAATACATATTTACAGACTAAGAATGGAAGTTCTCAAATTCAGGTTTTATAAAATTTGAAAATTATGAAGTCTAATGGAATTTAAAGGTCAAATACTTTTTTAGGTAACGCATCATTTGCAGACTGAAATCCACTCACAATATCACTAAAAACCTGTAACCAATCAACAAAAATGAGAGTGCTACTTCATGGAATAAAAGAGTCTAAACAGCATCTTAAATGAGCTGTTCCTACACTTCCCCATTCAGTTACAGCTAAATTGACTATGTTCCTGTGAAAAAAGTCTGTAAGATTAAGATGAGCTCTTCTTCATTACTGCTACTCAGGCACATTAAAATAGCAAAATAAATGCAAGTTCAGCTGCTAGTGAAGGTCAAAATTGGACAAATGCATAAATTAAAAGGGATCTTATCCCAGCACCCTTCACTTTAATAACTGCCAACAAAATACATACATACATAAATGAATAAATAAATAAGCAACCACATTAACTGTGCCCTTGTCTCAAGACATTAAAAGTAAATATATTCATTGCATTGGATTTAATGTTCTAGCTAACATTTATTCTACAAAGATAGCTTGAACGATAATCTTATGTGCTAGTCTGCCATAAATATACAGCAAAACTGAAAAGCCCTGAAGTCCAAAATAACAGCATCTTATATAAAATGTTAATTGCACAATTTTCACTTCATCATCATGAAATTATGAAACAATGATTCCCCGTAGTTTAAAGTCAGCTTGCACTTGAACATGCAAAACCTTACCTGAGTTGATACATCACTAGAAACTGAGTTTGAGGAGGGTGGCTGCAATGAAAAGATACCTTCATTAAATACAAAACGGATAGCAAGAGACAGAAATCTCAATGTAAAACATTAAAATAAAATCTTACCTTTGCTCTTACATATGCTTTCCTTATTTTTAACCCTAGTTTCTGAGCTAGTTCTTGGGTAAGCTTAATCACACTTTCATCCTAAAAGACATAAATAAAATTTCATTATTTACATCTATTGTCATCTAGTCAACATGCGTTTACATCTCAGTCTATGTTCTGCAAGATCCCTATATGCAGAACGTCTCATAATGCACCTTTACTCTTCCACAAACACAAAAGACCTGCAAGCTGACATTAAAAAATACAGCTATCTTCAAGAAAAATTACTCCAATATTTAGATTTTTTAAAAAGGCCAGAAAATAGACAGTACCCTTCTGTTCCACTTACTTGAATTTAAAATAATGTAAGATTTTTCTAAAACCGGAGAAGTTCAGAGAAGGGGGCTTCTTTGTGGGTGTATATTTTTTGTTTATTTATTTGGGGAGGTGGTTTGTTTTTTGAGGGGATAGGGTTTTTTTGTTATTTTGTTTTTACACAAATTGAGGGCCACATTTCCGATTACCATAATGTCAGCTACTACATAACACTGCTGAATATTTAATGAGAACTCTGTATTTTGGCAGTAATTGCATCATACAACTAGAAAATTGAGTTAAAATCCTGGTCATATTTCACTCTGTCCTGTAGTTATAACTATCCATTTAAATTATTTTAAATTTAGTTTCAGAACATGTCCTATGGCTAGAAAAAGATAGTTATAAAACTTATATAAAAGGCATATAAACCTTAGGCGAAAACATTCAGATCTGGGGGTGCAAAGTGAGGATCCAAAGTCCAAAGTCACACATTGAGATAAACTGCTGTGTATTTGGAAATGCAACCGAAACCATCTCTATACCCAGGGGTAAACCTACGCTCAACAGTTTGTCTAGCAATTTCACTGTAATTTTGACCTAGAAAGGCGAAAAAAAAAATGCATCTCAGTATTCTGTCCTGTGATCAGTCTATTTTGAGCAAAGTTTCCATCAGTTTCCATCAGCATTTTAGTTCAAACCAGGAATGCATTTCTGAAGTGAGGCTCTTAATCATCCTTTTACTGCATTTTAGTTTGTGTTATGAAGTGTCTCAGAGAACCAAATTAGATTCATTTCGGATGAAACTAAACCGAAATTGCCGCAGGAATGCACTTGGTGCACCTCAGCTCTTCAAAAAAAGCAAAAACCAAAAAAACCCAAACCCAAAACAAAGCAGCAAAACCCTCAAAAACCTCAACCAACCATGGAAATCAGATCCTCGGGATCAGAGCATTTCAGTTTACAGCTCCCCTCCTATTACACCCCATGCTGCTCGCTAATACACATCTCACCTAACATTAGAGGTGCCGAGTAAGTGATTCAGATGGAGGACAATGCACAGATAAGAATGTTACTAAATGCTTGGAAAGCTAAAATACACTTCTCAAAGGATCAATATTGTACGTTGTAATGATAGGTGCTTTTTCTCTTTATGTCATGAGTATACTTCTGACTAGAGAATTGTAAACAATTAATTCAGTGGTTCTAATGTTTATTGCAAACATTTGTGGCACTTGACCCTCACTGCAAATTGACTATTTCTTATGCTGCAAGTTAAGAGAACAAACTGAGCTTGGGGACTATAATCTTTGCTATCAGTCTTCACCGTCTTCACTTCCACAACAACAACAAAAAAAATTCTTAAAAGAATAAAAATGAATTTTACTGCTTTAAAAAAAACCAAACAACAAAACAACCATAAAAACCTTCAATGGTCTTGATGTAAATATATGTTTTCCGTATTAAATCTTTAAGAATAATCATCAATATAGAATTTACCTACCTGTGGCACAGCAAGAGAACATTTTGCTACAGCATCATAAGCCGTCTTATACCTTCCCAGTTCGTTCAAAGCTTTTGCTTTCCGATAGAGAGCTCTGAAATTGTTTTCGTTTAATCTTAATGCTATTTCACAGTCTTCTAGAACTTTTTCATGCAATCCCTACAAGGAGAAAAAAGAAAAAAGGCACAAATCAGAGCTACTATCATTGAAATACTGAATTTAAACTGGATTAGATGAAGGTATTGAAGCACTACAAAACATTCACCAAGGCCACTGCACACTGCATGTATGAGTTTTGCCAAGTCACCAACACATGCAACTGAAAAGAAGCAGGGCCATCATTTATGTAAAATCCAATAATAGTTATGAAGACAATTTAGCTCTTTCACAAAAGCTATCTTACTCCACAGAAGAAGCAGAAGACTCGGGTACAATCAGCAGTATAGATAGATAAAAATACTTTTCCATCAATTTCCAAACCTACTATGACTCTTCAATGTAGACTCTTCAAGACTAGACTCTTCAATTCTAGTAGCTAAAAATATCTAGAAGATTATACTTGTAAAAATAAGAGATTGAAGAATATGCCAAAATGATTATTTGAAACATGCCAATTCTCAAACCAAGTTTTCCACTCACTCAGAAACGTGCCATGTCTTTGTATTCTTAGCACATTGTTCTTGAGAAATTATACAGTTTAAGCAGAAGCTTACCATATTTGAAAAACATGCTATCCTGTTCACATGCAGCTTCTCTAAAATATCATCAGAAACATGGATTTCTTCAGAATTAGCATAATCAGCTATATTTATAGCTTCTGTATAGTGACTCAGTGATCCTCTCCAATCACCTTCTCGATATACATCATTCCCTTCATTAAAAAGATTTCTAACAAGCTCTCGTATAAATAACTGGAATAAAGAAAAGAAACACTCATCAACAGCAGTATTTGTTGTTTACCTTCCCTGTTTCCAAACACAATTTTAAATAGAAAATTTATACTTGTAACTTCAAAAATCAAGAATAAAAATCAAATGCAAAACTTTTGTCTATATTAGTATTTGTCTTCTTACATTTTCCAAGAGAATGTCTAACAATCAACACTATAATACATGTAAATAAAAGGGAGGCTGAACTACTCATAACAAAATTACTTTGTATAAATATGTTTAAAAAGACATATACTTATATATAATATATATAATATGCAATTCATCCCTAACAAATTCATCCCCATCCAAATTCATCCCTAACACCAGTAGAGAAAGAGTTAATCTGAACTCCTAGATGAGTACATATAGCAGTATGTACCACATTTATATGTTCCTGAGCATCAAAATATCTGAATACCTGTTTCACAATGCAAGTAGTCCAATATTGAGACACTGTAAATTACCATTCATACTATATCATTACTTAAATGATGATTACAAACAAGAATAAATATAATAAGATAGGCCCATATTAAAAGCCCTTCTGAAAATGCAGAAGTAATTTCATTACCTCATACTGTTCTTGCGTCCCTGGATAGGGCAAAGTAGATCTAGAAAAACAAATTACAAAATTTACTCACTATACATATTGCTTAGAAGAAGATCACATGGGAGAATACTGGTTCCCACTAAAAGCAGTCTCACTTGCTGCAACAGGGGAACCGCTAAATATTGTCTATCGCCTGCACTGAACAAGGTGGGACTGCTGTAGATTAGTTTTGATTAAACAACTGTGGTTTCTTATTACTAATGACTCGCTTTCATTTAAAGTTACAGTCTTAACTCTGCTGTTCAAAGCATTTTAAGGTTTTGCATGCTTGGAGTTTAAAACCTCAATGTTGTTTGTTTAAAAACAATTTCCTTCCTCTCCTCCGCTGTGCATAAACAGACTATACATGAGAAGAACTGCAATCTTCTTGTAAGTACTACAAAATGAGAAATTATCTGCCAAAAGAAAACATCAATTTTAATTAAGACATACCAATGACACTACAGGAATTTTAAGAGTTCTTCTGTACGATAAACAGCAGAGATTTTCTCTAGCACAGAATAGAGGTATTTACTAACTTTGCAGGAAGAAAAATAGGAACCCTTCCCCTTCCCATACAGGTTATCTGAGAATCTGTTTCTAAATAATTTTTTAAATGGCAGTTTTCTTTTTCTTTTTTTCTTTCTTTTAAAGAATGCCTTATGTGGGCAGGGAACTAGAGTGAGATTTCACAATGATTTTAAGCTAACCAGGATCTTCCAGAGGAGAATCTGGCATCGATCCAAATGAAAATTAACTGCTGAGGTGATTTTTCATTAGGTTAAATTTCAGCTCCAGAGAGCTGAAATACTTAGGTAGCCATGAGTAAACCCATCCTTTTCAGTAGCAACCTAGTCTTAGGTGTAGCTGTCCATAAATACAAGGTGGATTTTCAGGCTATCAACATTTTCCACCCACCAAAAAAATTCAGTTCTGATTTTTCTCAAAGGCAGAAAAGGAATACCCTCCCACCTTCAATCTGCTCCGTTTGGGAACAAAGAGGGGTTCAATCTTTTTTTTATGACTGCTCTCCATTTCTATGCTCATGGTAGCAAATATTCTGAGGATAAAGACAGGTCCTTCTCTCTCCTCCACTGGTACTTTATTAGAAGGGCTTTCCCAGATCTATCCATCTCATACATACACGTGTATAAGCATACAAGAGTAAAAACACAAAATCATACTCTATAAACTGGAGTCCTTTCTTAATGTCCTGTTGTCTAGTGCTCCTCTCTTCTGACACATTGGACATGTTATCCTGAACATCCACTTTTCGGATATGCCACTCCTCAAAAAGAAAGATAAATGGCTGTTAGTATACAGCAGTTTGCATTTGGACCAGAAGGATCGGATCTCACACCAACAGTAAGTCCATCACAGAAAGATGATACCGCGCCACAGCGTCAGAGAGCAGGCTCTGAAGAAACCTCAGGCAAACACCGCAGCGCCCACAGCCATACAGATAGAAGCCCCAGGTCAGAACCAACAGCCCCTCTGTCACTGCCCAGTTGCTCAACACTTGGACAGAAAACCTTTCTTCCAATTTCTACTTCATCTTTGGTTTTCCACTTACTTACTCCAGATCACGCAGTCACGTTGGTGAAACTCCACCAGCAGCTCACAGGCACCACTGCTAGAGCAAGCTCAGGCTCCAGTGTCCTCCTTTAACAGCTTTGTACTTCCATTTGTTTGTTGAAGTAGAAACAAACTCAAGACCCTGATATAGTTATTAATAAAGCCCAAACCGATTACAAAACTACCATTAAGTCTAATTCTAGAGTCTCTCATCATCAGCCAACCCCTAAGGTGTAATTAGAAGCAAACTACTACTGCTTTAATAAGACCTACCAGCTGACCAAGGTGAAAATCTTGGAAACTTCACCAGTAGCAGACTACCTACTTCATCTGAAAAACTGAATTGCTTTAATGTAATTCCACATCGTCAACTTGACATTTAAACCCAATTTAAGTAGTGTGAATCAGTGATGTTTTTTTTTTTCTTCATGTCTCTCATTTACTGGATTTACAAATATTCAATAGGCTAAAACAATTAAATAGGCTAAACTGATCTGTATAACCTTCAAGATATGGCTAATTAAAGCATAGTTTCACTGCTGCATACAGTTGTGACTAACTGGAATATAAGAACACAACTTATTTTTACAAAACAGATCAGTAGGACAAAATTTTATTTTGAAAACACTGAAACTCAGAAAAAGGCTTTTAGCTTCAGGATTATTTTTTTGTGAAGAAAATTACTTTTTGGAGGAATTTATAGTTAAAAAAGAAAAAAGGATTTGCATGCAGTACATTTCTGTTAGTCTTGAAAGTAGGCTAAAAAAAAGCCAGTGTTTTGTGCCAGGTTACCATTTCACATCAGTGACAGAAGAATGAAAATAAAGTGAAATAAAAACCAAAATAACTCCCAACAAACTCAACAAAACCTCAAGTAAGAATAGAAACCAGCTGGAGAAGATACCCTACTTGCTCCAAATAATTTGGAATACTGAAACAATCTGAAGAGCATTCAGCTCTAATAATGTTTACAAACCTTTCCAAAGCATCTTCAATGAACACATGAAGTCTGCACCATCTCAGGCCTTTAAGAGTTAGCCCTACACAGTCCTAAAGCAAGCAAAAGAAACTGAGTAATTTTCTTAAGGTTATTAAGCAATTTAATGGAAGCGCTTCAAGGTCCCATTTCACTTCACTTTCTACTGTGACCTCTAATATCACCAAGCTTCAAGAAAAAAAGAAAAAAAAAGGATCAGTCTGTAGATAAATATCATGGACAGCTACAGTAGTTCACTAGCGTGAATTGTTAAGATTATTGCTTGTTTAGGTATATAAATAGCACTCAACAATCTATTCTCCAGAGAGGAAGTAACCATGAACGCCTCTTGTAACTGTTTTTCATGTCGTTTTATGCATCATTTTTTCTTCCACGAGTTAGTAATACATAGAATGCTTTTGGCATATATATGAAAGACTTTTATTATAAGATAAATGTTTTAATGAGTAAAAATAGTGTATCTATAAACAAAGCTAAATATAAATGCCAAAAGGAATTTTTTAGGGGAATCTGAATGTATTTTTATTAACTCATTCATGGTTTAGATTTTAGAATTCAAACAAGGGCTAGTAAGATTAAGAAATTCTCACACTAACCAAAGATAGCAGCAATATCAGCATATGCTTTCCCACAAAAATAAGCAAGCTATGTAATACGTATTTTAGTCCCCTGAATTAACAACTGACAAAGTAATATCCTGCCAACACAAGAGTCTTGCACATGTGAAGATCTGGGCAAGTATTAAGATCAGCTTTACTCTACTAATTTTAATCAGCTCCAATACTCCACTCCAACATCTTGCAAAGAGATAAAAAAAGTCTAACACAGTAACAATTACATTTATTTATCCCTTCTAGAATAAATATTAAAGAATAAATGATATATTGAAGTGGAGATCCAATTTCTCCATAACAATAAAGTTACTGGAAATGTTACAAACTGGCATCACAGATGAAAAAATAGCTGGCAAGTGAGGAACATATGTGAGTGGTGTAATTTATTATTCAAAGCAGTTTTCTATTTTTTTCCTACTTACTCATCTGCATCCATAAGATGCTCAGGCAAAAATTATCTTTCCTTAACAAACTTTGACAGTCACATTGCCCCAATATGTGATGATTTTGCAAAGGTTTTAAAATTGTTTCAGACAGCGCCTCTAACAGCATCTCTCCTGTCCAAATCATTCTTTGATCCTCTTGAGCAACCAGAAACGTTAGACTTGTACAAGGTAAATAACAATCGTGTCTTGACTCTTAATGGCATCCATCCACTTTCAAAGTTTAAAAAACCCACCTATTTTGCAACAGCTTTTTTCCTCCATTTGCAGGGACAGAAATTTAAACAAATATAAATACATAGATATATTTTAAAAGTTAAAATGTTGCTTTGTTGTTTTTATTACTAGAAAAGCTTTACTCTTCGTACAAATCACTGAATGAGACAAGCTAAAGGAAAAGAGAGAAAAAAAATATAGTACGGGATTGTAAAAAAAAAAAAGCAAACTAATCTATCTGTAATTAAGGTCATAGGCAGAACTGATCATTGCATTAACTGTTATATTTTTACAGCTGCTGCTACGTGACCAATACAAGCTCAATTTCCTATATCTAGTCAACCAAAAAAAAACATGCCTAAGCCCAAACAAGTTGAAGAGCAGTTTATACTGTTTTATCTTTATCATAGGCTTCAACCCATCATGTTTCACAAGAGCCGAAGCCAAGTGACAGAAAGTACACTGCCAGTAGCCAATGTCACCTCTTCTGATAGATGCTGGTCCAATTGTGTTTTGCTCCGTATCTCCTGTTTGTACATTTGTGGCAGGTCTGTCAGCCAGGAATACCTACACTCTTCTCTTACACAAAGCCACTCATACTGGCTATTTGCTTTCCTTCTGGCACAGGGCAAGACAAATTTCTTGTTTTCTGTATTTTGGCACTTCTGAGGCATTCAAGATAAGTTTTAAAGGACATTCATAATACTTAGGGATAATTCTTCAGGCGCAAGAGCTTTGAACACAACAACTGCTAGACTATCTTGCAAATCTGATCTTTGGAATGCGAGTCAATAAAATCATACAGAATGCAGACAACCGAGATGTTCTGTAGAAGGAACACAGGCCTTGGTTATTCTGAAAAGGAAGGTCACGCTGCTTAAAGCCTTCCATTTCTAAACTGCAGACCCGGGGAGTAAGTATCTACAGTTCGCCATTCACACAAGTTCCCCCAGTTGAAAATTCAGTCCCGAAGGGCAGGGAACGGGGCAGGACTAATCCTTTCTCCTGCTGCCTACAGTTGTGCAGCCAGCTTGTTTAGAGACAGAGGAGAGAGGAAATATGCATAACATTATCTGGGGACCAGAACTACTACCACTGGGAATTAATGACCTTCAGCTGACCAAATAATTCTGGGTTTGTTCCTTATTGACATTAATGGTTCCTGTGATTATAAATAAGCATTCTCTGCACCTTCAGACCTAAGTCCTGAAAACAACTGGAAGTCACTGGTCCTCTGTGCACTTCCTTCTCCACAGAGCTAAAACTTAAAAACTAGAGCAGTGTATAGATGTGCTCTTTTAAGATATAGAAGCATATCCTCTTGTCGTGCATCACTGAGTTCAATATTAGTGCAATTACTGGGTTACAGGAATCTCAAATTAGATCTCTGTACAGTACAAAGCACATTGAAAATTTTATCATGATTGCTGCTGATAGATCTGGATCTCTACCAGCCTCAGTGGTTCAGCCGAATTATGAACCTTGACTGGGGTGCAAGTCTAGTGAAAAACACACTGAGCAAAGAGATCTCCTTTTGCATTCTAGCATCAGCCTTCTCCCTCTCTTTATGACACAGGCAGCAGAGAAGGCAACAAATCCAAAATATTAAATCAACTCAGTCACAAATTAACCCATCATTTACACATCGTATGTCAAAACTTTGATCAGCAATCAGAAGTTATGAAACCAGAAGTCTTTGTATAAAATCAAAACGTCAACAGTTCACCAATGTTTCCATATAAGAAAATTGTATCCCAGAGGAAAGCAGTTACACCCTGGTTCCTAGAATAAAGGGAATACTGCAAAGAGAACAAGGAAGACTGAAACAGAACAGTAGAAATGAATATATGACTAAAAGGCAGGCATAGTACAAACCACTTTCTCCTAGAAGCAGCGAAAGCCCATCTCTGCTGCTACCTCCTGCACCACTGACAGTGGCAGCAATTATGTGTTCAGGCATCTGGAGCCAAAAAATTATATGTGTACAATTCCCATGCCAGGGACGTGAGAAAGCAGACCCCTGTCTTAACAGAGACAAGTGAGAAAAGGAGGTGCACACGTGCAGCTGTACCCTAACTGCTTCCTAGAGAGATGACACCAACAGAACCATCTCCATTACCCCCAGCCCCAACCCAGCCAGGAATCGAACTGGACACCAAGCACCTGCCCAACACAGGGTAAGCCTGACCCAAAGCAGACTTCTCAAAGCAACTTTATTGCTGATCCTAACTATCTGACAGTTTAAATGAATAATTACAGATAATACACTACAGTACAAATTAAAGCATGCCTCACAGAGACTGTACACTGCTCAACGGACTCAGACTGGCATCAAGATGAGGAAGGGAAACAGGGAAATCTTAATAGGAAACCTTTTTAGAAATATCTTCCTTGGATAGCAGGGACAGATGCTGATGCTCATGCACCACTGGGCCGTTATTAGGGGGGGAAACAACAGTACACTGTACACATTTCAGTAGTTTTGAGTTTATTCCTCTGCTTAATTTAATACTTCTGGTTACAATCACATAATTCTGTTATGTCAGCTGAAAACGCCAATTATTAACACAGACACTACTCAGTTTCAGGGTGTTGGATTGTTGTTTTTTTAATAAAAAGAAACAAACTTAGTGGTTGTCTAAAGGAAACCTCTAAATGAAGTAGAATATACAGCAACAGTTTAACATCTACTCATTCCATAGTCTCTATTTACCTGAAGTATTTAGTTGCATCTCCTCCCACTCATTCCCTACCCACAAAATAATGTGATACTGTTCAAGGTTTGTTTTCTATTTTCCTAGCCTTCCTACGTATTTTTTTTTTAAATCCATGAAAGAAACAGGAGGGAACAAAGACGCTTTGTAGAGACACTTCATTACCCGAGGAAATTAAGGAGCGGGGCTGGAAGGCTTGGGTTTATGTTTCCCTTAGACATTTTAGTAAAGAACAGATCCAAAATTCAAGCTGGGGAAGGACATCTCAGTAATAAATCCAGGTTTATGAAGAGAATTTGAGCTGATTACCAAGATAAGCTTCGGTAACCGATGTGGATGACTGTAACTGACCGTGTTTGGAGGTTTTTTTTAGCTTTTACTTCCTGTAACACATTACGACTTTCTGTAACCAAAGAGTGACAGCGCTGCCTAACCGGGACCGCGGCGGAGGAACGGACAAACGGGCGCTGCTTTTCCCCTCCAGCGGGATCGCGGCGGGCACGAGTTGCAGCACCCCCTATTTCGCGCAAAAAGCCCGAAAAACTCCTCACACGCGACGCGGGCGGGAGGGGACACCGGCGGGACACGGTCCCGCTCCCGGGCGCTGTCAACGCTGGGCTCTCCGCGCCTCCTGTCAAACGGGGGGGGCTCGTCCCGGTCACGGCGCCCCACAGCTCCCGAGCCCCGCTTTTCCCGGGGAGCGGCGGGGGG